AGCTGCAGAGGATGAACCCTCCGGCATGCAAAAACCTTTTTGGGGTGGTAAGCATAGAAGAGACACCAGCAGTTTTTAACAATAGCCAGGAGGGGGAGTATGAAGGAGTTGTACCGAAAGTCCTTCTGTAGTACATAGGGCATTTAGCATTGCAGATTCCGAGTGTGCTCTGCATGAACGCCTGAAGATCCCTCTCCAGTCTTGCAATTTCAGCAGATCTCTTTCTGCTAAGAGCATATTTCTCCTGCATACTGATAATACATTGTAAGATCCTTCTGTTTTCACTTGATTTGTTGAGCAGCAGAAAATCAAAGGCTCCTTACCCATTCCATTTCAGGCTGCATGGTGGGGGTTGAAGAGGGTCTCTAACAGCCACAAGAAAGGTAGGTATTTAGATGTTTGCCAAGTCCCATCAGAGGGAAACTTATATTCATAGACAATGTACACAATATCTTAACTCAGTGTCCTGCTGACCCATCAAGACTTGGAATTTCCACTCCATTTGCGACAGCTGTTTTCCTGGAAGCTTTCCTTCATTAAATGTTACTTTTTCAAACTTTGTTTCTTACCCAGAAGTTCATGTCAGTGCTTATTTATATAGTTAACTCTTGTACAGGTTATTATGTGCATTGGAAGAGTCCTTTGGAAAAGATTTGCATGGCTGTCTTAAAATTGGCTTTACTGTTGTTGTTAGAATTAAACACTACTTGAAAGAACAAAAGTGAAATTCTCATCTCTTAATATTCCTTCTCATCTAATAGATAGATACTAAAAAGTAATGTTGTTAAGTATTAGATATGCTTACATTGATATTCCCATTTTTTAGCTTCTCGTTACTCTTGTCAGTTTACAAATACAAATTTGTTTTTGTCTTTATTGATCTTAAGTTTCATTATTCTTGCCACTTCTTCAAGTCTCTCATTTTTTTCTGACAGGGAGTTATTAAGTCACCTTTTGCTCTTTTAGTTGTGAATGCAAAGAGGCTTTTCTTTACAGTGGTTTTTGTTTCTTGTTTATGTCATTCTGTTTTTGAAAATCTTAAGTCCTTAAGTTTGCTGTTTTTAATTTAGTTATCCAATTTCATTCATTTATATTATCCTTCATTTTCAGATTTCCAAGAATTGCAATTCTCATGTATTACCCACACATCTAATACATAAAACTTCTTAAACTTTCACGAGACATTATTGTCATTTCTGACAAGGTATTGACCAAGGTGGAAATGATTCCTTCTAAAAAGTATTATTTATCATTTGCTCATGACAAATGTGGAGAAGAGAACTAGAAACTTATGAAGGACTACTTGCTGTGTGGTTTCAGACTCTGTGACCCATATTTCCATTATTTATGATGCCTGAAGATAAATGTGTTTTCCTCATCCACAAAATCTAACATCTTTTGCAAATGTTGTGGACTTTGGCTTCCTTTTCCATTTTCTTTCTGAATACTGATAGATCTATACTTTCAATATTTTGCTATTGAACACCTAATTAGGAAAAGAACTTGAATGCAGTACTATAATAATATCACTGTATTATTTATATGAAAATAATTTGCTTGCTTTCTAGGGCTAATGGAAATCTTATTTGATTCTTAAATTATTAAAACTTACCTACACTGCTGTAGCAGTGAGCAGAGAACTTTCGAGTAGTTGCTCGTAGTAACTAGATAAGAAGTAGTGATGTAAGTGCTTGCGTGTGATAAGAGGGGCGTAGACGAAGGTGTACAAGGCTATATAAACTGTTGTCACGAGTTAATAAACGCCATTTTACCACCCACCACATTGGTGTGCACCGAGGTAGATGGACAGACCGAGATGTCCCTAACGATTGCGAACACCTTGATGAAGCTGGAGCGGGCTTCCGGCTTCAACTGCTGATACATAGCTAACAGACTTTGTTATTAGGTTTCCACACAGTGTGCATTTTTAACTATTACAAGGCTGTGCTAAGGCTTGTAATTAGTTGCTTCTTGCCAACCAGGTTTTTTTTTTTTTAATTATATATATGTGTGTGTGTGTGTGTGCGTATATATATATACATATATCTCCACAAAAGTATATTTCAGACCAAAAATGAGTGGATTTATTATGACCTTCCTCAACCCACATTCTGGATTACATGATAATTTGATGCCAGGAAGGGACTTCTCTTTTTAAATTAATTTCAATAAGAGCTGGTTATTTTTAAGGAAGTAGAATGTGTTGAAGTTGGAGAGGGTGTGATAAATCCTTATGGTTATGGAAACTCAAACCAAAATTCATTTTTCATTGGTTTTTCTTCCAGGAGGATCACTATTTATCTAAGAAAAGTAAAACGGTAAAATAGTACATTTGAGTTGCATTGCATTACCGGCAACACCAAATAATTTTTATTACATTTATCCTTGGGTAAAGACAGGCAGACAATTACTACAGGTTACTCAGCTGCAAGCTTATCCTAAGCCTACCTGCAGAGTTGTTCAGCTACTCATACTTGTTATACCATTGCTACGTAGATATATACATGTGTATATAGATGCAGTTATAAGTATACACATACGTAAATACATATATTCATTAAATGGATGGAGAGAGAGCATGACGTGATACTATTTATAAAATGTTACTCTTATAAACAGATATTTTTTTCTTCCTTGAATGTAAATGTTATGCACCCAGAAAAAGTCAGTTTACGCACCTGTAGCATAGCTTGTTATTTGTCTTAAAGGCTGCATATTCAGCAGAAATGTGTCCCTGTCTGGCTTAGAGACAAGGACTTGTACAGCTCAGCCTTCATAACGTCTACACTTTCGTTAAAAATAGTCACAGGTCTAATGCTCTGCTTCTCTTTTTTCTATGCCGTATTGTATCAAAATGGGGTATCAGGTCCAATTGCAGTGTTACTTCACAGCAGTCCACATGACAGTGGCAGATGTCAATGTTTAATCACAAAATCACAGAATCGTACGGGTTTGAAGGGACCTCTGGAGATCATCTAGTCCAACTTGAACTAACGACAGCGCTCAACGTAGAAGTACATTCTAGGGCACTGAGGATGGACCAAGGATTCATATTCTTCAGGGAGCTGATTAATTTTAAACTTATTTCTTTCCTTGTGTCTATATTTAGTGTAAGAACAAATCATTTTCATAGAATTTTCTGTTCTGGTTACAATCTTAAGAGTGTCAAGGGACTGGATAAATGGATAAATGTTCTGCTATTTTCTCTTTATTATTATAATTTTTTCTCACAAGATTGAGAAAAAAAGAGAGAATATAATGAGAATAAAAATGCACGGTATTGAAGCATTAAAATATGGTGATAATTCATTCCCGTGACAAACTACAGCAAGTACGGAATGCAGTGTCAGATATATCCATTCTCCTGACAAAACCTGTGGAAAGAGTGGGAAATTGTATAAAAGTAATTTACTCCAGTGTCAATTGTCCTAAGGCAGCAGTCCATGTCCCATGTCCCTTGTGCCAGCATAGCTGTGGATCTTTTATTTAAAAGTGCTCATTAGTTCAGATTCGTTTCTGAAACAGCACTGTTTGGTGCATAAGCTGTTAGTTCTACTTTAAGAATATGAATATCAGTTTGCCTGTCAGGCTATTTAAATGAAAAGATGTCTTCGCTCTGCATTCCTAGGTGTTGACATTGATTTAGCATTTTTTATGGTACAATCTAGCAAAGCTAAAAACAATCAGGTTTTGACTTTTCATTGCGTGGGTTTAGTTCTGAAGTACTGTATTATTTACATCAATGAGAGTAATAATAGTTCAATTTAGAATTTTGGTCCTCATTTTAATCCCACTGCAATCACTGAAATGTGGAATAATAGGGGATTTTTTTCCTAGCAGTGTTGGTGTGAGATTTGTGGGCTTGAAATATGTCACTCGAAATTACATGTCCACAGAAAATTTAGCCATAGCAAACACTCAGATAAAAACTGTTAGAGCATAGAGCAGTATCTGTTTCCCTAAATTGGTTCGGTTGAGTTTTATGTAGTTTTACTGAGAAATTGTCCCAAGAACTTTAGTGTTTGGTGGTTAACTAATAAATAGCATGCAATAGATTTTAGATAGTGTTTTCTCTGTAGTGGATATCTCAAAGTGCTTTGCCAAACTGGCTGTAATTGTCTAGATGGATGTTGCTGTGGCCTCAGTAATAGCTTGCATGCTGTTGGTTGATTAGAAGATTTTCTTTTGTTGAGACACAGAGGGTTACACAGACCCTGGCCTGAGAACCAGGAGGTAGCTGAACTCTTCTTTGGGCTGGGAATCAAGGAGCTGGAACAAAGGTGTCTAGTATATGCTGAACAGCCAAAGCCTGCCTCAGAGCTGCGGAAAAATAGAGGTTGTGTTATCTCACAAATGGTTGTCATGAGATTAACTTAAAAGAAATCTAAATCTAGTCATCTGCCACCCTGAAGGATTCATGTAGTAAGGTATTTAAGGTAGCTAAGATTAGAATAGCTTCATTTGCAATTTATATTTGCTACCAACTATTTTTTGAGAGCGTATACAAGAGTCCTAGGATGTGTAGTACAGTTCAGCAAGGGGTTATACTTGGATGGTATTAAGATAGTGTTTCTCAAACTATTTTTTGCCCATATCTGGCTTCCCTCCCATCAGATTTTTAAGGGAAGGCTGGAGAATATGTACACAAACCCCATGCCCTGGTTTCTTT